AATAGAGTATAAAATAACAATAATAATGTTTATGAATAAAATAAATATTTATAATTTTTTAAAAACAGAAAGCTGGTGATCAAAGATCTAATTGGAGATCATTTTAGAAGTTACCAATTTACATGATAGAGGAAGGAGGTTAACCAATATTGATAATTTAGGATTGATCAATACTTTGGATATCTTGATTTCTCCTAATTTCATTTTGATCAGAAACTTTAATAAATGCTTGAGTATCTGGGATAAGGTTGAATCCAAATTCACTATTTCTGACTCCTAAAGTTAATGGGAAATCTCCTAAATCATGATCAAATTGATTAAGATTATCTAAGTTTAGATAAAAGATGAACCTGTTTATGCATAGGAATAAACACTTTTATCATCTTTGTCTCCTCCATTCATAGTATTATTACGTCTTTCTGGAATAAACTTTTAAGGTGGTCTAAATTTTATATGACATGACTTAAGATTAGGTAAAGAACCTTCCATTAATAAATCTTAATCTTTAAAATGATTAAGCATATTATTCCAAAGATTATCCTAAATAGATAGAATATATATACTTTGCATAAAACCCTTGCATTACCAATAATGATTAATCCAAATCTAGCTCTAGTGATAGTGACATTTAATCTTCTGGGATTGGTTAAAAAACCTATTCCTTAAGTATCATTGGAACGAACACATGAAATAATAATAAAATCTTTTTCTCTTCCTTAAAAACCATCGACAGAAGCTACTTCAATATCTCTATATTAATTATAAGGTAATTATCCATTCTTTTAAAGATAAGAAAGAATATATATTCTTTATCCTTTATAAGGAGTAATAATCCCAATTTTATTTAATTTAACTGTATTCTAATATAAATAATAGACAGCTTATTCAACAGCAACAGCTTCTTAAGTATTAAGATAGGAAGTGCCTGAAGCAGATAATTATTCTTGACCAGAAACATTAATAAAAATCATAGGTTTTTATTTATTAGGCCATGGAAAACTACCAGAATGAGTTCTATCACTAATAGTAACTCCATTTTGTAAAGTGCCTTCATAGAATGTATTAGATGGAAAGACTGTTAATTCTGGATGCATACGATATTAAACTTATAATCTAACAGGTCTAATTCCTAACTATACTAATCTTTCAAATAGACTTCTATCTAAACCAACTGAAGCAGCCTCTCTACTTTATACAACTGGACCTAATTATCTATGATCTCCAACTAAAATAACATGTTTTGCTCCTTTAAGCATAGGTAATAGACATTCTGGTTCAATTGCTTAAGTTGCTTCATCTATTAACACAAATAAGAATCTCATATCTTTCAGTCTTTTATCAGCTGAACCAATACATGTTGTACAAATGATATCAGCCTATTCAATGATTTCTTTTTCAGCTTCATCTCTCATTCTAATAAATACTTATTCATCTTTTTAGTCTAATTCTCCTTATTAATCTAATAATTCATAAAATGCTTATAATGAATGGTATTATGGAATATCCAAACTTCTAACTTAATTATGTAATGTTAAGAATTCAATATTAGTACTAACACTTTCTCTTGTTTTACTACATAATCTTACAACCTTTACTCCTGTTTTATTAATCTTTTCCGCTAATTAATCTACTACAATATTGCTTGGAGCACATACTAAGATTTATCCTCTTTATTTTTATTTCTCCATTGCTTTTACTAACTGATATACAATAGTTGCACTTGTAACAGTCTTTCCAGTTCCAGGTGGTCCCTATATTAATGATAATGGGGATTTTAAAGCCTTCTTAACTGCATCTGCCTAATATACATTTAAATCAGGTAAATTTGGAGCAGATAACTTTTATGGTATGCTCTCAATTTATGTTGGAGGTGCTAATGTATCTATTCTTCCCAAAATCATTTTATATAAGTAATTACTTATTGAATTATCTTAATTCACAAATGTCTTTAATCCTATATACATTCTTTTAAATGTAGTAGACACCCATATACAATCTACTGTGTATCCTTCCTCTGCATTATTAGGTGGAGGATCATTCTAATGCAATTCCAAACAAATCTCTTCATTATTTATCACTTTAACTACTGTTCCTTTTTACTACCATATTGTATTCCCACTCTTCAAACTTAACTACATCTCATTCCCTAACAATGTATTTGTATCAAATTCCTCTCTTCCTCCATATAAAAAATATGCCAATCTCTTTTTCTTTAAACTCAAATCCCATCTCACTTTTATACTCTATTATACTTATCCCTCCTTCACTTATTTATCTTGTTCCTCTTCCAATTTCACCAATGGAGCAAATACTTATTAATAATGTACCGCATCTCTATATCTTAATTACACTTCTTTTAAACTTTAATTTTGACCTTTCCTATCCAAATCCTCTATTCTTAATTATGGTTCCTTCTTTCTTGCATCCTCATATTAATTTATTCTCTCCAATGTTACCATTCGCGACTATTCATATACATTATATCTATTACATTTATTTTCTCTCCTTATCCCAATAACCAATCTTATACACTCTTATCCTTTATTAGTGGCTAATAATCATTCGAATCCCAACTTATCTCTCCTGACTATTTCAATTGTACACACCCTCTACATACAATTACAATGTTTTCTTCATCATCTACCTTTACTAAATATCTTTAGATTCTATCATACCATTCACTTATCCAAGTGTAAATAAATTTTTTTATTCACAACAATAACACTCTATTGTTGTTATTTACACTTTATTTTCATTATGCAAACTTATCTAACAATGCTTATTCTTTATTAAATGCAATATTATATGTGATCCGCTTCTTGTTGCACAGTTGCAATACCATCTATTACATTATAAACATTAAGCAACTGCATTCACATCTGACTATAAACAATAACTATTTCATATCTCTCTATTTCTTACTCACAACAATGCTCAGCTATCTATTATTATTATTATTATTATTCTGTTGTTCTTTTTAATCTCTCAAATACATCTGCCATTAAAACTATTAATAAAAAAATCAAACTTTATATTTCTTCAAGAATTTCTTTTTACTAAATGATCTTTTTATCATTTTTTTATTCTCTATCCATTTTGTACTTTTAAACAATCACCAAAGAACTTAACACTTTCCTTTAATAAGTGCAATTCTGAAAATGATCAAATGATTGAAAGATATTACAAATGTATTTTTAGATTTTAATGAAAATATTTAAATTCTATCAACATACAAAAAATTTTAAAAAATCTTATCATGTTTTCATCAAGATAAATTATATGAATATTATAACAAAAATGAATCATAACTCTTTATTTTTATATAAAAATTGAAATTTAATTGAATATGATGAAATATATAAAATTTTTTAATATATTTTGTTTGCTGAGTTATTATTGATAGTTTAGAAGGGAAATAAATTATAACACTTAAATGATCATGTAAAGGAGCTAAGAAAACATTTTTAAGAAGACGATGAAAAATATTTTAATGATAAATAATAAGAAAGAGGATTATAAAGATTGATATATGAGGTAGATGAATTAAAATAAGAAGTTGATAATATGAATAGTAGAATAACAGTATTAAAATAATAATAATAAATAATTGATGAGATTAGAATGTAATTGTTGAATTGATTGATTAATTGATTAATTGAATTCATATTTGGTTTAAGATGGACATAGTTTAATTGAAAACGATAATGTACTTGAGGAGATTAAATTTTTGGGTAGTGGAAAGCAAATAGAAGTTTTAATCCAAGTAATGTAATTCATTTATAATAGATAATATTAAATATATCAAATGAATTGTTAAGTTAATTAAGAGATGCAGTTTTAAATAGTTTAGAAGCAGATGTTATAAATGGAATAAGAAAATAGTAGATTATATAATAAATTGACTGGAGAAATTAAAAGCTATGATTGAAAAACTATTTTATAGTTTTTAGGTTGAAAGCGAGAGATAATATTAAGAATTAGATGTAAATAAGTATTAAATCTAAAGAAAGAAGGAGTTTAAAGAAGTAGGTCAATAATTATATGATAGAAATGATTAAAGGTATAATTATTATCAAAATTGATTTTAGATTATTTAGATTAGATGGTTAAAAAGGCTTAAAATTTAATAAAATGAAAATTTGGATAGAATTGCGAGATGGTCAGTTGAGAGTGAATGAAATTCAAAAAAAAATTATTTTTTTAAATCAAACTTATACACTAAAAGTTCATCTTATTAATAAGTAAATTGATTTTATTTTCAATTCTGATATTGATTTGGTTTAACTATTGATTTTATTTTTGAATTCAGACTAGTAAATAATGTTTGTACATTGAATCTTTTTGTAGCACTATTTATTCAACCTCAAAAATGATATTTAAAGAAGTAACATTATTCTTTTTATTTTTTTGTTAATTTAACTTGGTTTTTTGAAAGTTCATAAGCTAAATTGATTAAAAAATTGAAAGAGGCAGAATATTTTATGAAGTGTATAAAATGAATTATCAATTTTAACAACAAAAGAACTGAGTACATTTAATATTTTGATTTGTTAAATATTTCATATATTTAGATTTTTAAATTAATTTATTTTTACATATGGGGGTGATTCAAAAGTAACATTGATAAATGATTAAATAGCCAATAAAATTTATATCAACTATTTACAAATGAACCTTGACCCGATTTCAGATGTTGTTAATCAACAAGACTTAATTGAAAAATTACGCATTAAAAATCGTTTCCTTGAGAAAAGATCTAATTTCTATAAAAGAAGAAGAGAATTATTGATAGTCTAATTACAATAAGCTGAGAGTACAAACAAATTATCGGAATCTAAAGTCTCAGTATCTTCTGTTAATTGCAATCTTCCTACTATGCCTGACGAAACTGATTTAATCTAAAAATATTAAGAAGAATTGTAAATGAAAGAAGCCTTAATTACAGAGCTGAAAGAAACTATGGCAATACTTGAAAATAAAGCTAATAATTTATAAGCATGTAATGATGAGATGTAGTATTAATTGTCAAAGAAGTAGCAAGAATTTTAAAGAAGTGAAAAAGTGAGTCAATCTGGTATTATATCAATATAATAAAAATAGTTATTATACCAAAATCTACTAGCCACACAGAAAAAGCAATGGCAGCTATTGACAAATTTGTTTAACCTCTTACTACAAATTCTTTTAAGTCTACTGATGGACAACCTAAAACAGCTGAAGAAAAAAGGAAATTGATAAAGAAAATGTCTATGCATGCAGGAGCTTCTGCTTATATGATGGCATTGAAAGGAGATTTTACTACTTTGTAAAATGCTTCAGAGGAGATTTAAAGTAACAAGAGCCTTGAACAATCATGAATTAATTAATTTAATATAAATTTGTTTTAAGTTGAATAAGAAGTATTTAAGGTTGGGTTATAAATTTCGAAACAAAATTAGTTAATAAATATTTATGTAAGAATCGGATATTGAATCTTAATTTTTATATCAATCGATTACTTAACAATAAGACAGTATTGAAGAGAAGGAAGTATTGGTGAGTCGTTTGACCGAGAGTAATCAAATATAAGATGAGTCAGTTTAAATAAATATGGATTCCGAGATTATAAGTGAGTTGGAAGAGGAAATAATGCAGTTGCATAAAAAAAATGAATAGTTAACTGATTAAATAATTGAGAAGGATAATGAGATTGCTACATTAAAAGAGAGAGTATAACAATAAACTATATTGAATGAGACATATAAAATAGCAGAAGTATAACTTAAATAATAAATTGAAGAATTGAAGAAGAGAATAGGAGAATTTTAAGAGTAGATTTAAAGTTTACCTCCTTAATTATAAAATCTATCTAAGTTGAATATGGATTTCAGTTTGGTAAATCATATAGAAAGAGATCTATCTCATGATAGTTTATTGGAACGATATGATCGCTAGAAGTCTAACAAACGTTTAGCTCCAATTTAAATAAAACCATATTCAGAGAAATTTAGATATAACAATTAATAACATAGTCCATATTTCGATCAAATGACAGAAAGAACCTAAAACATTTAAAGGAAACGATTCAATTAAAATAAATAATGATTATATTCATCTATTTCACATTGATATTTACTAAAGAATTAAATCAACATCTAAGGATTAGCAACTGTTCCCCAGGATTACCATATTTTTCTATTTCAAAATCAATAAGCAATCCTAAATATCATATGACATTGTTTCTTGCTACACACAGAGCATGTAAGGCTTGTTGCATTCATGAAGTCATTTTCAAATAATTATTGTAAAACATCCCATAACAAATAAACTTTTTAAGGATTGAATTAGAAGGTTATTCTTATTCATCATTTTTTAGATAATGCCCAATTTATAGAACAATATTAAATAAAACGATTTCCAGCAATCTTTCTGGAAACTAAATCAGGTGTAATCTATCATTATAATGACTTACTTAACTATGAAACACTTATATCCTTTATACAATATTACTTAAATGGGTTATAATTCACTCAATATTAATCATTTTAAGAAATCGAATCTGCCATTAATCATTAACAATAACTCTACAATATTTATATTATTGGATTGTTCTATGATTAAGTTGAATATCGAGATGAAATTAAATAATTTACTTAATAATGTAAGAAGCTCTATAATTATAGAATCAAATTTGGATTTATAATGTAAAAATAAGAAATTAAAAACATTTATGCGAAGTTTAACACTTATTCACATATATTGATATCAAAATATCCTAATCATTATTAATTTGTTGATGATTTATTTGCTTAACCAATTTTACCATTAATCAATGAATTAAAGATTGAGAATTCTAAGCATTACTTAGGACATGCCCTCATTGTAATTGATTCGATTTAAGATAATTTAAATTATTTGATTAAGCTATAGACTATTGCTTAACAATTATCAACTTTAAGATTTGCTTGGATAGATGGAAATTTAAATGAAGATAGATTATAAATGTTAGGAATTGAAAAATTTGATTAAGAAACAAAATTAACTATTTTTAATTTAGATTCAAATGCTAATGCGATTTATAATGGAGATTTACATAATTTAACTACAATTTTGACATTTTATAAGGATTTCATATAAATGGATTCTAAACATTTTCATTAGAAATATTCAACAATCAAAAAAGAATAACACAAAATTCCATCATAACCATATATATAATACAATGAAAACACTCTCATTATTTTGATACCTCACTATGATGATTATCATATGAAAATAATAAAATAGATACAATAAACAAATAAGAAGTTCCATAATTAATTTAATGTGTCTTACTATGAAGCAAATCAATTTAAATTAATTTATTATTACAATTCTATTATTCATTAGTTAACAGCAGAGCCACTAGAAGTAGCATTGAGAGAAATTGAATAAATAAATAAAGAAATTCGATTTCCTAAGGAAATTCCATTACTTATAAATGAATAAGATTTAATTGAATTTCTATTAATATAATATAATAACAATGATTAATGATTAGATGATTAAAAGGTTGTAAAAAGAATTTGAGTAAGTTTAATCTGCAATAGAAGAAGGAATCATTGAAAATATGACAGTAGATGTCTAATAAGTAAATAACTCAGCAAATTATAAAAAATGGAATGTGGTAATTTATGGAAGAGAGGGTACAATCTGGTAAGGCGGAGAATATCCAGGCGTATTAGAATTCTCTGATAGTTATCCAGCTACATCTCCTGTATACACTTGGACATTGTATGGAAAAATGAGATTTTTACATATGAATATCTATTCTTCTGGTAAAACTTGTATCGACATTTTAAATGATAAAATTGGATATACACCAGCAAAAACATGTGTAGAAATATTAAAAGCATTAGAAGATTTCCTTTATCGTCCTAATCCAAAATCACCTACTAATGGTGAATTAGCTAAAACATTTGAAAAAGACTTACCTGAATATGAAAAGTAAATCAAAGAGTTTGTTTAGAAATATATGGAGGAAAAACAAAAACTAGAAGCTAAGTGAATATTATTTTTAAATTTATACAAAAAAATAAAATAAATATAATTAAAATCATGAACTTTAATATTGTTATTAGCCTCTTTTATTAATATTAATTTTATTATATTAGAAAATCTCCATTTAAAAGGCCAGAACATAAAGTTAAACCAATATCTATAAAAGTATTTAATAAAAATGAGGAAATAGTAATTAACATTACACTTGTACATTCCTATGGAAATTTAAAATAACATAGACTCCATTTATCTGAAGGAATAATAGAATAATGAATTCGTTATAAAAACTCAAAAGATTATCTATTTTAAAATAAATATATATTATAAAATTAATTATGGATATTTCCGAATAAGAACGTAGAAGAATTGAACGAAAATTAAAATATAAAATGCCAGTTACATTTAGATGGGGTGCTTTACTTGGATTATTTGGAGGTATAATCCATGGAGGTCTAAGTGGTGGAAGAACATTTTATGCATTTTCTCATAGTGTAGGTGGAGCCCTTATTATTGGTTTAGGACTATGTTATCATGATTTCTATTTATATGCAAAAACATATTGTTGATAGTTTTATTAATTTTATTTCATTCATTCTAAATCAATTCTTTACAAATGACCATTCTATCAATATCTTAAATTCACAATATTAATTCTATATTTAACACTATAGTCCTTAAAACAATCTAAAATTCATTCTATTCTAGACAATTATTATAGGCTAAATCATTTGTAATTTTATTTTATTCATTATCAAGAAAGTTAATATCAACAATCACATATTATTTTTTTCTTTTTATCATATTACTATTGCAGGAGTATTCATCTCTATTTATTGATCATTTTTTTACTTATATCAAATTTTTATTCTTTATACTTAGTATTTAATAAAACATCTTCTTGATTTCATGTAATTTATTGCAATACTTTTGTTCTAACTTCATATTTTTATAATTTGTAAGCTTATTATTACAAATACATTACATTATTAAAATTATGATACTTCTTTGTATTCTTAGTATTTCGGAAAATAGGAATGAAAATCTGTCTAATTTTATATCCTAATAATTAGTTTAAATTAATAATAATCACATTATTAATAACTCTATATGTTAACATATTATTGATTCATAAAATCTCTTCAAAAAATATTATTGTAATAATAATCCTCTTGATGAATTAAATTCAAGTAAAACATATGATGAATTTAGAATTATATGAATATTTCACAATTAAAATCATTAATTTAATTTTATTATATTAAGAAGGAGATTAAACCAAATTTGTTAAAATATTCGAAATTTTTTTCTTTACAATCAATCCAATATATATTGATCATACTCTAAAGAATTCACTCTTATTAAGAAAATTTCAATAAATTTAGATTTAAAGTTTATCAAAATTGAATTTGAATTGCTATATATTTAATTCATCAAAATTTCAATTTCTGAAATCTTGAGATTTCCTTAATAAAACCTTTATTTAGTGAATTTAAGTTGTGATTAAATATAATGACAAATTATAGAATGTTTAAATTATTCTATAAGAAAAAAAGAAAATCCGAATGTGAAAACATGTTAGCGATCATAAAGGAATCGAAGATGTATTTTTAAAATAGAAATAAGGATAGTAATATAATCATTATTTAAGTATTCCTTTTATGGGTATTTTTGATGAAGAAGGCACGTTGCCGGTGTAAAATGTTGATATGAAGTCTACTCTTTAAGTTTTCTTAAATTTACAAATTGAATTTTAAGGTTTAAACTAAACAGAAAAGTCTCTAATTTGAACATCTTCAATATCTCCTCTCGGTTTGAATGGTCTATTTAATTGCAATTATGCGTTCATTTGTAATAATATTATAGTAATTTAATTGAAATGAAATTTAATCTTTTTAATTAAATGACTCAGAATTAATCATAATTGAGAGCCATAATTAATTTAAATATCAACATTCATCTTCCATATTCCAAAATCAATTTTGAGTAGTAAAATAAAAAAGTGAGAGAATAAATGATATAAATAATAAAAAAGGCTCTAATTTAAAATATTTATCACTGTTTCCAATTTTATATATTTCAATTAAAGTGGCCTTATAACTTATGATAGACCATTAAATTACATAGAATTAATTTAGAAATATAATTTAGGTTGATTTTGAATTGTTTACTTCAATTCAGAAGAGCAAATATTTTTTTCCATATAGATTAATTTATTATATTATGTAAATAGAATAAAGTTGTGAATTTAAATATTTTGATAAGAGATTAATAAATAAAATTAAATAAAAATGAAAACAATAGCAGTTATCACAATCCTAGTAGTATTTGGATTATGTTAAACAGTAAGACTTGATTTCAATAGTGAAGATTGTAACAAATATCTTGAAAAATTTGGAACTGTTAATAATCCAAGTGGATAGGGTTTTTCAAAGATTGAATTCACAGGAGATGCTGCATTTGTTCAAGGAACAACTAATGTGTAAGTAAATTTATAATATTCTGATGTTGATTTGTTCAACGATTCTAAATTTTTTGGTCTTGTTAAAGAAGATGGAAAATCAAGACACTTGTCTTGATCTTAAATTATATAAATTCGTTTCAAAAGAATATGATGGTAACACCATAAAATAATTTTTAAATTTAATAGAGATATTATTCATTTACTATTTTAGGATCTGAACTTAATTAAAGAATGATTTTAGATTCCTGAAATACCAAAGATTTTATTTACAAAGGATATTATGCAATGGAATATTATGCTGCTGGTACTGATTAAGTCTAATATACATTTTATTTTGATTTCACTGTAACAATTGAAAGAGCTTCAGGTGCTCCAGTTGAGACAGCTTTCAGACCATTAAGTTATTAATCAACAGTTGGTTGTACAACAGTGGAAAAATGTATAGCCAAAGCTGATACTAAAATAAACTTTTGTTAGGATCCATCAGCTTGCACTAATTTTGCTAGCACTCCTTTAGATCTCCATCTAAATGATCAATTTATTATTTAATAAAAAGTTACTACTACTGGTTTGACTGGTTATCATTTAACAGGAACTGAAGTTTGGTATACTGGTAATGGATTGAATAAGAAAGCAAATATTGTTAATCTTGATAATTTAAAACCAGGAGCGGTTAACATTACATTACAAGCTGAAATTGCTTGGAGAAACGTCACAATTAAGGTTACTTCAATTTTGGGAAATACTTAAAACGGAGGAAAAAGATTGTTAGCTTAAACTACTTATGATACTATCACTGGAGAAACTAATATTATTGAATGCATCAAAGCTGAAAGACAAGATACATGTGGCATGTGTGAAGAAGAATGTTTAGCCAATGGATTTGCCCGTTCTGACTGTTCTTGTGAATATTGTTGTTCAGCTCAATAGACAGCTTTTATTTTCTTGGCTTTATTCATTGCTTTATTCTTTGCATTAAAATATTGAAATTCAATCCTCATTTAATTTTATATTAATATTAAAATGTTAGTTATTTTTATTGTAAATTATTTATATATATAAATAAACTTATATCCCAAATAAGATTAACAATTAATACATTTTATATCAGATTTAATAATTAAAAAAAATAATAGATAGAATTATAAAAAAAACATTTAAAGTATTTAATGTAAAAAATAGTCATTTTCACTACCTTAGTATAAATTGCTGTCTTAAAATCATGTTAAGATTCGAATGGTACAGCATTATATATCTATTTTAATGATCAATTTGTTTTATAATAAATTGTCACAAAAGTTGGTTTAACTGATTATTATTTAACTTAAACTAAAGTTTAGTATACTGGTAATGGATTATATAAGTAAAAACTCCAGCCCAAGATAATTAATAATCTAATAAAAGTTGAAATTGCTTAGAGTTAAGCAAAATTAAAGTTTGCTTCAGATATAGTAATCAAATAATGAAGAAATATTAGAATTAGTTTAAACTGTGTATGGTGCAGTCTGTCATGAGATCAACTTAATAGATTGAATGTATCTAAGCTGAAGAATCATGTAACACTTGTAATTAGAATGTGATATAACTGGATTTGCTCATGATGGTAGAAAAGAATGTTCAGCTCAATAGAAAGCATTTATTTTTTTAGCTTTATTATTAGCATTTACATTTTGATTTATTAAATTTATATTCAATCATATGTTATTTGAGATCAATTATTAATTTTTAATTGTATAAATTATAAGTTTTTTCAAACAGAATCTAAATAACTTTACTAAACAACTCTAAGCTTTTCAGTTTTTATTAATAATCCTAATTTAGGTTACAAATAAAGTTAATGAAATAGTTTAGATTTTCCCCCTAATACTGGAAATAACAAGCTGATAACTTTTACTATATCGTAAACAATAGATATTAAAAATGATTAAATGATTTTTTACTTTTTTTTTAAATACGATAATTTGTAGAATGTAAGATTTTAGTCTTAATTAGATATACATGGAAACGCTTTTGATTCTGAAGAATACAAAAATAAAATTCAGCAATGTAGATTTTTATTTGGATACAAATTGAGGTTTTATAATATTTTAGATTTCATTTTTTATAAATGTAAAATATATTTCGATTTTTGTAAAATTATTGCACTGCTTATCACAAGAAGCTGTAAATAATTTTTATAAATGGTTCTTATATTAATAAGTTTTTTTTTACAGTTTATATCTAAATCTTTTCAATATGATTATTCTACTAAATTTTATAATTTCTCAAAATAAAAAAAAGGAAAACCCGTATAATTTTATTTTAAGATGAAAAATGTTAATTTGCTTAATTGTTATATATAGATTAAATGATTTTAAGAAATCTTCTATCTATATAATTAAGTATTGCAAAAGAGGAATAAAATTACAAAATGCAGACTTAATATATAATTAATCAATAAATGTATGATTTATAATAATATATATTAAATGGGATCAAGTTGTAAATCAAAACCATAGCGTAATAATCATATTCATTACAACACATAATTGTGTACCTTTGCACAACTAGAAAAACCAATAGTGTAACAATATTCTGAAGATGAAATTGTATAGGGTTCAATTTCTTCATGTGATTACGAAAAAGAGAGAAGTGATTCTAAATCAATAGTTTTGCGTTCTCCAGATGTTTCTTTGAATTCTCCAACCTAAAATGATTCAGCAGTAATATCAAGATTGCACATAACATCGGATGATTTTGTAAAACTACGGAATTAGAACTACTTAGATTATTATTCGAATGAGAAGTTATTGGGAGTAGGCAGTTATGGAAAAGTGTATTTGTTGAGGAATAAATTTACAAGTAGAGTTATGTTTAATTTACTAGATTAATTGAGAGCAATGAAATAATTGAAGAAAAAATAGAGTTTAACTTCTAGGAAGTCTTTGAGAGAAATGGAAATATTAGAGTAATTGGATCACCCTTTTATAATAAAGGCATTGGAGGTATATTAGGATGAGCAAAATTACAATATGATTATTGAGTAAGATAAATAAAAAATATTAGATTCATATCCGGAATAGATTTGTAAGAAGACATTTCAAATGGTAAATTTCCAGAAGAAAAGGCAGCAAAGATAATGAATCAGTTATTATTGACTATAGGTTATATCCATCATTAAGGAGTGGTTCATAGAGATATAAAACCAGAGAACATATTGTATCAATATAATAATTGTTATGAATGGATTAAACTAATAGATTTTGGAATTTCTACTAAAATAAAAAAAAATAAAAAATTGAGTTCTCAATTGGGATCCGTAAGCATGAATATTAATTAGATGTACTTCATGGCTCCAGAAATATTTTAGAAAGATTATGGTAAGTAAATTGATGTTTGGGCATGTGGTGTGACTCTTTTTTATATGATCCACAAACGTTATCCTTTTATGGGAAAAACAGATCAAGAAATGAGGAATGCAATTACAAATGGTCATTTCATTACAGACTAAGATATTAGTCCAGAGTTGAAGAGTCTTTTGAGTAAGATGTTGCAGGTGAACCCAAATAAGAGAATAACAGCTTAATAAGCATTGCAAGAGGATTGGTTTGCTAAATTTAATTAGGGGTTTCAATTAAATTAATCAGTAAATAAATAACTCTAATTTATAGGTTATACAAAAATTACTTAATTATCATAGTACTTCTCTCTTTGAAGAACTGATATTTTCATTAATCACTTATTATGGATAAAATTCAGATGACTCTGGGTAAGCCATTTAAACATTTTTATGTTTGGATCGAGATTAGGATGGATTGATTTCAAAATAAGAATTAAAATAAACAATTAAGAATTACAATATAAATATTGAAAACTAATCTAAACTTATAGATATTTTATTCTCTAGTCTCAATAAATCATAAGATGATACATTAACTTATAAAGGTTTTATTTTTAAATAATAAATAGAATTTTTAGCTGCTTCTGTGGCAAGTGAAAAAATATAGACTCGTAAATGCCAGAAATTATGCTTTCAATTAATAGATGCTGATTAAGATGGAAAATTTTCAGAATCTGATTTTTGTCGTCTTATGGGAAGAAAATAAATAAATTTATGGCATCTGTTGAATCCAACAGATAAGTCTTACATCACAGAAGAAGAATTTTATGGAATGTTCAAATAATGAATTACTCTTTATATACTTTAGTATGTCATTTTTTGTTTTACTTTTCTTATTTTGGGTTATTAGCAAAATAAATCTTGAGGCCTGTCTTGTCATTTTTATCGAAGCGATATCCCTAAGATATTGTAAATAATTTGCTCACTTAGAGAGTTTGCATAACAACAGTAGCTTGAAAGGCATCATCAAAATCTACAAAGCAAAGCAAATATTCTCTTCCCTTTTGAGTTTACTTTTTAATCAGACGTACTCGTTGGAACCCTGGATAAGGCCGAAAAATATCTAAATAATATTTAGTATATATACGTGCCACTTCTCTCTCTTATGCATCATTTGGTATGCCTATTTAACTTATATTTCAAGTTATTACCGTCAACATAAAGTGAATGAGTAGACTCTTTTTAGGGTTGAAATTACTGATTATCTCGAATTAGTTCGAAATACTAATTATTGAACATAGGATTTGGGTATGGGTTATTGTACATTAAATATATATAAAAATTATTAATATATTAAATGGATAACTCATTACCTAACAAGAGATCATCCAAGTAAAGAGACACTGATTATTAAGAAAAACCTTAAGTAAGCCCATTCCTATGATGTAGTCTAAAATTATGTAGGATACTCAATAGAGTAGTCAATAATACATAATTACAGAGGCTACTTTTGAATTGATTATTCGAGAAAGAGATGCCTTAATAGAGAGACTAGAAAATGAGTAAAGGTAATTGAAATCCTAACTCGATCAAAAGAAAATAGAATTATACGAGCTTTCATAAAGATTCGCATCTTAGCGAGGGAACAATCTCTTGAAACTGTAATAGTCAGGTATCTAACTAAAGTAAATTCAGCCAGATGCAGATGCCTATAAATGACTTACTTAATTAATTATGATGTTTAAATTAAAGTCTCAAACAATTCTCTACATTAATAAATAAGTAAAAAAATTTATAATTCTTAATGCTCTCAAAACCCCACTCTCCCGCATCTCTTAAGATCTCTCATATTAACTTCTAGCATTATAAAATGCTAATAACATCATATATCAAATAAAAATAATTTTTGCTACTTTTTATTACATATAATTAATAAGATCAAGACCATTGTTATTTCTTATGTTTCCTATTTTTGAGCTTATCAAGTTTCAAAGATGATTTTGGATATTTGACAGAAATCAAAATGATGTTGTAAATGAAGTTTTTGCACAAGCATCAGTTTCAGACTATGTAGATTCCTTAGTAAATATTTTTATTTAATGGCGCCATAGTCAAACATGATTAATAATCTTACCAATTCCATAGAAAGTTGATAATTCTATCTAAGAAAAATACTTCTAAGGCAGTAATGCTATCATCATCCTGTATGGTGCATCTAAGCTCGAAATACCTCTGAATCATCTAAATTTGTTAAGGCTGAAGCTTATATGCTCATGAGAGAATTATTAAAGAATGAATCTTTGGGAACATATCCTGCTCTTGTAATTTATAAGGGATTATAAATTTTACTGTAAATTATATCTGGTTACAATACTCCATTTATAAGTCAGAAAATGGAGAGAGAATTTAGCCATATATTGGGATTTTAATGAAAACCAATTCTATAATTCAGAATACTAAATATTTTTATTATAGTCATAATTGGGGTGTGAGTTCAGACTTATATAAAAAGTATCCTTCTTTAGATGAATTATTCTTAATCACAGGAACCAATTAGGATTCAAAGGGTTTAAACTTTGTCTCTTTCATTCAAGGTTGGCATCTTTCAGTTTTTGGTGTTTAAAATCACCCTGAAAAGTATATATTTAAATGGAAAGTTTCTGCTCCTCATAGTTATTTTACTTAAAAAATAAAAAGGAAAAATTTTTATATTCCTATAAAATCATAATCAAAGAACTTAGTTTAATGTTATTTTTTTGTTTTAATTTAATATAAAATGATTGAATATATATTTATAATTCAAAATGTTAATGCTAATAATAAAGCCAAGAAAACAAATGCTATTTATTAGGAAAAGGAACATTCTTCACAACCATCACGAGCAAATCCATTAGCTTAACATTCCTATTCACAAGTGGCACATGTTTCTGATCCTTTAGCTTTGATGCATTCAATTTATTCAGTTTATCCATTGACTGTATCATAAGTACTTTAAACTAATAATCTTCTTCCTGATGATGCGTTTGCTAGAACTGAAGTAACTCTTATTGTTACTGCTCTCCAAGCAATTTCAGCTTTTAATTAAATAATTGCTTATCCTGGAGTAGTATTAATCACTTATTCAAGAGTTGCTTTCTTATTCAATCCACCACCAGTATACCAAACTTCAGTTCCAGTTAAATAATAATTAGTCAAACCAGCTGTGGTGACAATTTATTATAAAACAAATTAATCATTTAAATGAAGATCTGGAGTTTCATAAGCTGTACATTTCAAATCTGTACACCATTTTAATGTAGTAGCAGCTGTTATAACACAAGGTAAATTTGGTGTGCATCCTACTGATTCTTTCTAACTTATTGGTTTGAAAGATGTGTCGACTGCAGCTCCATTTGATCTTAAAACTGTAACAGTGAATTAGAAATATAATGTGTATTATAATTAGTCTGTATTTGCAATATAATAAGCGATAGAATAGTATCCTTTATAAACAAATTATTCAGTATTTTATGAATCAAGAACTAACCTTGTACTTAATTCAGTTCCTAAAATAGTAAATGAATAATATCTCCATTATTTTTAGAAATTAAATGATGAAGTTATTGTTAAATC